TGATTATAAAATATAAAAATAGTGAGTTCTAGCTATATAATTTTTGGTACCCAGGTTTTTATATAGGTACTAAAGAGATTTTATAGAATATAGACTTCTTGAACGATCTAAAAAGCAAAATGAATACTTTTGTACCCAGGGTACCAAAAAAAGTGTTCCAGAACTCCCAATTTCACCCTACTACTGTAATGTTATTAGAGTTCATTGAAATATTTAGAGTACAAATTATTAATATTAAATGATGATAATGTAAATATCGATTAGTTATATAAATTTAAAGATTGGGAAAGATGGTTTACAACAGTATATTATGCACTTATAGATCATGTGATAGACTTTAATTAGTTGAAGATTTATTGTGAAATTGTTTATGAGAATCAATTTAAAAAATATTAATTGTATCATAATGATCTAATAAAAAAAAAAATTGTATCATAATGATCTAATTAAAAAAAAATTTTTGTGTCTTTACTTTAGTTTTGAGATGAGTGATTTCTTATCCGGCTATCACATAGTCGAAACATTACCAGATGTTTATAAATTAGGTTGGCTGGTGTTCACCGGTGAATGCCGGATCATGTGATGGCATCTGGCTTTAACGGATCCCCTAAATTGGCTGGTAAATGTAGTGGTGTCACATAATCTACTATCCGTATAGTGAGTTACACCTGTGTTAGGTAGAGTTAGGCTAAATATGTTAAAACCAGAAGGTTTAAATAGGTACTCTCCTAGTTGGGGTGCAGGTACAGCAGATAGTGTAGAACCTTCGGGCAAACTACTTAAATAGGCACTCAAAAGGTGCACGTGTAGCTTGATGTACCTTTGTCATAATGTATAGTGTCTAATACTTGCTTAATAAAATCTCACTGACAATTAGAGTCACCTTTGCCAAAAAAAAAAAAAAATTTGACCACTATATTTATGAGTTGTTGATTTAAGAATTCCTGCACTATAGTAAAAAAACAAATTAACTAAAATTAAAATTTTATATTTAATCTATATGTATCATGTTATATAAACCTCTTTATTTTATTTTAAAGCTACACCTTAACTCTAATTATTAATAATTACTGGTATAAGTTATAATAATTCTAAAAAAGAAAATAAATTATCACGATTCTTATTTATACTTCTATCCTATTTTTTTTTTCTAGAATTTTATATTTCTTTTTGATTATACGCCTTTTTTTATTTTGAAATATAAAAGTTGTCAAAGAAAAAAGAATGTAAAAGAAAATGAAAGAAGCCTTGTGATTGTAATAAGCTAAACTTTTGAAATACGTAACTTTAAATTTGAAAAAAAGTATAAAAGTATAGTAAGAACCTGGAAATAAAATAGTTATCCGCGATAAAATATACGTATTACGTGCACAAAAGTACAAGATATTCCCGAATAGGAAAAAAAATAGGGACTAAATCGATAATTTCTTATCGTTACGTATGACTAAAATTTTATATGTAATTTAGAAAAAAAATTTCAATACATATCAAAAGAAAACCCGACAATCTAAAAATAGATCACATAGTTCATTATGAAATTCATAAGTGATCTATTGATCTATTTTTAGATTGTCGGGTTTTCTTTTGACGACACTCATATCTGTTATACGTAAAATATAACGATAATACGTATAACGCTATATACAGTATATTGTATTAAGATTTTTTTCTGTTAAGTTTTTACCATAAAAATCTAGATATTGAGCTACGTAGTTGCTGAGAAAAAAAAGATCATCGGAAAATCAATTTTTGTTATAAACCTTATAATAAATTATATATAAGAAAATACGAACTTTAAAAGAGTTATTGCAAAACTTTATTAATACAACTACTTTTGTGTCTTAGTAAAAATGATCTTAATCTTATTCTAAATTGATATGTAAAATATTTATTTTAAAAAATTGTTAATTTGGTTCCTGTTTCCAGCATCTAGCCCAATATATATTACTCTTTTTTATTTTGTATGTATATATTAACACAAATATTTAATGTTTAGGATAGCACAATCACGAAACCGCCAATTTTTGCGCCATATGATACACCCATGTGATTCGCGATTTGATTGGTCAACCGATGTACCCGTTGTACAATGACCAGTAGGATCGACCCGAGGTGAAGATGAAACTCGCAAAAACCATATGAGAAATCTATCTGCCAATAATGTCTATCTAACTTCAAACCGACCATGACCCCACTTTTAGTTAAAAAAGTGAAACTGTATAACTGAGCACCGCTTTGAAAATCTATTTTAAATCCTACTACTGTCTACTGTGTATTTTCCTTCAGAGAAGTTATCACCATTACTTAGATATATTTATGTACGTACCTGATACCTACGCATTGGTATCTAGTATGTACGTACGTTTTTTCAAAAATTACATATCTGATATTATTAACGTTAAAGAAAAAAAATATTTAGTTTTTATTGGGATTATAAGATACCAGTACTAATTTCTAACGTTTCTAATTTAAAAGGCTAGTCTAGTAATAACTTCCCAACAATAAGTAAAACGAAGCTACTCCTATGTAATATTAACTATTTTTTTAAGCAAAAGAGATTAAGTTTGGCAATGGTGTCTCAGCTTCAATATAAAATTAAATATAATAGCTCTCTACTTCATGATTTTCTAGTTACATGTAACATATCTTATCTATTCGAGAGCAATAAAGCTACAAATCCACTATATGGTAGAAATAAGGCAAATTGAGGTTTAAAAAAAAAGTAATACCTTAACTTTCACAGCTTACATCTCGATGAATTTTGAAGTTATCTTGATGATTTAATAGTTAAAAGAAAGCTTAGATCTTAAGCTTTCGTTAGACTACTAATCAAGATACTGTAGTTTCAAAATTAATTGAGATGTAAGCTGTGAAAGTTAAGGTATTACTTTTTTTTTTAAAATGTCAACCTGTTATATTTCGAGTTTCAATTTAATTATATGATTACACAACAAGCTGACATATTTTTCGAGTACCTTTTTAAATACTAAATATGTGTGAACTTCTGTTGAGAGTGTTCACTATGACATACCCAGCTAAAAACTTGTCTATATATTCAAACTATAAACGTTAAACTTATTACGACTTTAATTATTATTATGTTCATCGTTACTCCTCGCTACAGGGATAATGCAAACGCTAAGACGATTCACGAGTAAAGTGTAACCGGATGTTCCTACAGTAACTGGAAAAAGATGCACTATCAACATGTGTACATACGATATTTGTATGTACATAATAAACAAGTAGCATCATTTAATTATAACGTATCATTAATTCTGTAATTATAAGTTATATTTCAAATAATAATTTTTAATAATTTTGAAGTATATTGTACGTATAAATATACCAAGTTTTATAATATCCAGTTGATATATTAACACTTAGCATTAAATTTATTCTAAAACAAATATCTTGCTACGTATATAATAATTTTGTATGTACTGTACGTATGATAACGATAACGATAACGATAACGATATATATAACAATAAAAGAAAGGTTAATCTGTACGTATAAATATATATATATATATATATATATATATGTACTTATATTACTATTTTTATTACTTTTACTAACTGTCACATGATTAGCACAATGATATAATGTAAAACGTTATTTGTCAAGTCCTATGCACATTTAAAATTTGTTACTATATTTATACAAAAACATTTACCATGACACCAACCAGAATCACCTAATTTGCCTTTTATATATTTATCTTGATCTCTTCCTCATTATTCACCTTCTTACAAACGCAATTTCTGTTGAAAAAGGCTCGAGCCCTTTTAAATTTCCTCCTCTTTTTTTTTTCTTTTTTTTTAACTTTATCCAGAAGCCGGTACGTTTCTTTAGGGTCCGAGTAACTTTATGAATTGTGTCAACTTTTTTTGGGTGAAGATATTCAACTAACTTCTCATTTCCCATTCTTAACCTTTTTATTAAAATATAGGGAAACCTCGACCAACAACCTATTTCAGTCTTTGTGGCATATTATCTATACTATATATTTTTAAATTATACCTTTAATAAAGACATAGTGGATTTCAAACAAAACTCTGTTGTAACTATGATGGTGACTTCTTCACCTAATGAAACTCTTGTGCAAAAGCACATCAGTATAGGTATGTATGATTGACTTTAGAACAATCTTGTTGTCCTCATACATTTATATTCATATCACTTATTTGGCCGAATTTTAAAGGTGTTAACGAAATTGTTGTGGAAAAAAAGTCTGAAAAACATTCAGAACGACGACATTCTCCTCCAACTAACGTTATTGAGCCACTAATCAATGATAGTCCTTCTAAAGGATCAAATGGTCGAAGTTTCATTACATCTATCCCGCAATCTCCTACAAAACGAAGGCCAATTAGCACTGGCGCCTTGGCTGATGAACAAAATGATAAACCACCTCAGCGATCTGCAACAACTGCAGGAAAACCCAAAAGGTCATTGCCTATCATTTCTTCTGAAAATGATTCTCAAGAAGAAGCTTCTGGACGAAATCGTAAAAGTGGTATGATTAAACGTCGTAACACTTATAGCTCTGAAATTCAGAGTGAGAGTGTGGACATTGTGCTAGACAAGGAAACTCAAAAATGGGCCGAGAATGTCAAAAGAAGATTGTCAAAAAGGAAAACTCGTGAAAAGGGCAAAGGTGACGATGAAGAGGGTCCAATGATCGGAACAAGGATAAGTGAAGGTCATGTCAATTATGTTTTAATGTACAACATGCTGACAGGAATAAGAGTGGGAGTAGGTTTTTTTTATTTATTATTATTTAAATCTGATGTTTTTTTTTTTTTTAATTATTTAATTATTTAAATTTTGTTACATAATATTCTTATATATATGTATACATAGGTCTCACGTTGTAATGCCAAACTTGAGAGAGAGTTAACTGATGCTGATTTCAAAGCTGCTCATAAATTGGCTTTCGATATGTATGATGTTTTGTTACATTTAAAAAGAGGCCGAATTCTAGTATATTCTAATTTTGAGTTTATATTAATATGTTTTGCCTTATAGAACGGGTAACGAACTTACTCCATCAGCCAAATATGATTTCAAATTCAAAGACTATGCTCCTTGGGTTTTTCGTCGTCTCCGTGAATTTTTTCATATTGATGCTGCAGATTATTTGGTTTCTTTAACGAGCAAATATATTTTGTCAGAGTTGAATTCTCCTGGCAAAAGTGGAAGCTTTTTTTATTATTCTAGGGACTATCGGTTCATCATTAAAACGATACATCATACTGAACACAAATTCTTACGTAAAATTTTGAAGCAATATTATGAGGTGTGATAATGTTTTGTTTGTTGTTCTTTTTTTGTTATATTTTGAATCCTATTTTTAATGATTACTCTTAAATTTACTTATTTTGATTAACAGCATGTGAAAGCTAACCCTGATACTCTCCTATCTCGTTTTTATGGTCTTCACCGAGTAAAATTACCACGTGGTCCGAAAATTCATTTCGTGGTGATGAATAACATTTTCCCACCGCACCGAGACATACATGAAATATATGACTTAAAGGTCGGTTTTCTCTTCTTTCGTCGTGTTAAAAAGTAATGATTTGTTTTCTAATGTCACATATCAATAGGGATCAACCGTTGGACGTGAGACTAAAGTCACAAACAACCATAATCCACGTTCGGTACTCAAAGACCTTAACTGGATAAAAAATGGTCAGCATTTAGAGTTAGGACCCACAAAACGAATGATTTTTGTTGAGCAACTTGAAAAGGACGTCAATGTAATTCAAAATTCTGATCTTATTAACATACAATAAAACTCATAATCATATTCACCAAGTTGTTATGTTCACATACGCTATTTAGTTGCTTCAAAGATTGAATATCATGGATTACAGTCTTCTGGTCGGACTGCATGATACTTCTCGTGGAAATAGGGATAATATTCGTGAAGATTTCTTTGTATTTCAGGTGACTATAAATATATTTAGACAATATAATTACAGTTATTCATTTATTCTTTCTTACACAATGTTTAATAATCTTTTTTTTTTTTTTTAATACGTTTAATTACCTTAAAAAAATCACAGCCTGATACTAAGAAAATCGAACGTACACCCTCAAGCCATAAACGAGAAAGTAAAGCATCGAAATTGCGTAAAGCTGTAGGTGAAGCTGATCCGGTAAAATTAGGTCCATCGACCACCAAATTAGTATTGAATAACGAGTTAGTAGATTTTTAAAATTTTCTTTTTTAATGAAAATTTGAATTTTTTGTAAACGCTTATTTACATTTCAGACGAAGAAATTGCATATTCTATGCAGATGATGGTGGATTTGCCGGTACCGATGAACAAAACCGTAACTCGAATTACATTTATTATTTAGGTGTTATTGACATTTTGACTCCATATAATACGGTCAAGAAGGTTGAGCACGCATTTAAATCCGTCAATCACGATAAGGTATGATAATTTTATTTTTAGAGCTTGTTTTAAACAATGCAAATACACGTCACCCTGGTTATATCGACATTTTTGAGACATTAGTAAAAAAATTCAAAATGTCGGTACAGTGAGTTATACCGACATTTTAT